ACACCCACTAAGCGAGACACCTCTCTGAGCTCCCTGACATCGATGTGCAATGCCAGTGCCGTGCATGACTACAGGCCTTGTGTTCAACGATTGTTCAGGTGCGCTCCCAAACCTGTGTTCAAGGCATCCATTACCAAAGTAATCTCCAGCTGCAGGCTGGTGAAGAGGACCCCTGTGCATATCACATCCACAGTATAATTGTTGGCACTACCAGTTGAGGGAATGCAGGACTGTTAGCAGAGGAGTGACCACGTGGTCTGAAGAGTCTCGGGAAGGCTTGAACACCAATGCCAGCCATGTTTAGAGTGGTGTAAATGAGTATGATGGAGGACATGGGTGCAGAAGATCATGTGTCCAATAAGCCTCATGAAGCTGCACACAGTAGCAGTCAGGCTTTGTTGAAGTCCATTGATAATGCTGGATATGACCTGAAATCAGGCCTCCAGAGCAAGGAGCAACCTCACCTCCTGGATAAGGAGAGCGACACTGAAGTGGCGGGAGGAGTGTGTGTGGAAGGAAGGGTAGAGAGCTAGACAGAATATGCTCAGGACCACCAGGTCAAGACCCAGCAGTCTGGGGTAATTTGGGTTCAGGGATGGTAGAAGTGGGACAGATGTTTCACAAATGGCAGGAAAAGATCCATGGATGCGAGGGCTTCATCCTCAGGAGCACCCTCAAAATTGCAGCTTAGGACCTGGTGGCTGCTTAGAGGCATCCTGCCTCAGAACACATGAGAATCAAAGACAGCTCTATATATTATTGTCTCTACTTCTATGAGTCCTATGGTCCTGCCTGGGAGGGCCAGAGTAAAAGCAGAAAAGCAGGTGAAGTTTAAACTGGTGCCACTGAGGGGCCGGTGTATGGATGCCCAGAGACTTCAGGATGATTCTAGAGTCCGTAAGACTATCGAGGTGAGTCCCTCTTCTCAGTGAATAGGCCCACCCCATTGAATGACAGGTCCTGAATGGTACACTCTATCTCCACTGGTAAACAAGACAACTACAGCCATGAGCTACAGCATATAGTAATAGCTGTGACCATAGTATGTGTAACTGAGTCAGCAGAGTCCAGGGTTGCCTGGTGACCGTACAGCCTTCCTGCAGAACCATCACAAACTCCTGTCTGACTTATGACAGGAGAAGTTCCTGGAATTTGGAGAGCATGTACCAGGAGTTGAATATATAACAACTGAGGTTCAAGACCCGCAACTGAAACATCCAGTCAAATAAACCTTGCACCGAAACAGGTTCAGCATTTGAGCAACCTTATCTCTCAGGGCAGGTCTGGGCTGACCTTAATGCTTATGGTGGTTCACAGCATACACCACACCAATGACCCCAGCTGGGGGTCAATATAGACACTCCCTCTACAGCACAAAGTAGTGCCTCTCAACCCCTTTGGCTATGGTCACATTCAATTCTGGGGTCTAGCAGAGCACCATGGTGGTGATCTGGATACATTTAATGAGAGGCACAGCCACCTATGCTGGATCCTCTGGAGAAAGAATATCCACGATCGGGTCAGACTCACTGACGACCTCCTCAGCAGGAGGCTGAGGTCCTGGGCCACATATCTGAGCAGATCCTGGTAAGCCTAAGAATCCACAGAAGGAGGGAAAAGGGCGGTACCTGCCACTGCTTCATCTGGCAATGACAAGGATGAGACCACCATGGGAAAAGGATTGTCTTGGCCCACCAGGTCCCTCTTAATTTCCCCTTCAGGTTGAGGGACAGAGAGAGTTGTTTGCAGTGGGACCACTAAAGGTACATTTCCCCTCTTGTCTCACAAGGTCCTCCGTGGGAGAAGATCTGTAGCCACCAAAGAGGCAGAGGGTGGCACTTGGGCTTAAGGTGCCACTAAGGCAGCACTGGAAGGTCGTTGGCCTTGGAGGTAAGCCCACAGGGTCCAAAATGGCAACTGAATAAGTGCCTGCCATTGAGGAGGCCAGGACTGTTCTGGTGCCACAAAAGCCTCTGGATACTGATGTCATGAGCAGGAACAGGACCAAGAGCTCCAGGCATGAGGAATTCAGCCCTCTAATTCTGACACGTACTTCAACACTAACCAGAGAGGAATTGAACCAGACAGTGCCAGTGATCAGTAATGAGGAGAATGTCTGTGGAGATTCAAGACAGTGGCAGTGATGAATACGTCCTTGGTGCTGGGGTTAGTGGTGGAGGCACAGGGGTGCCAGAAGCAGTGCCATGGGTGTAGGTCCAGGTACCAAATGGAACACATGTGGCAGGGCTGAGAAGCATTTGGAAAGCAGTGCCATCACATCATTGTGGTCAGTGCTGCTAGTGCCAAAAAGTCAGGGCAAGCGTTTCTCGAATTGAGCCAGTGCCCTGAGTTCAATGAGGTTTCATGTGGCCTCAAATAAGTCCGGTGTGAAGGGAAGATCTAAGTCCTCTTCCACCACCACTAGCACGGGAGACACTACTAACACTGGACATGACAGACCTGCCCTCAGGCCCAGAGTCGATGGTGCCAGGATCAAGGGACTCAGTCTGGGCAGAGTACAGGATGACTCTGAGGCCTCACTAGACCTCCTGAAGGGGGAATGACCCTAGTCTGTCCGCTTCTTTTTCCATGGCACAGTAGAATGGGACCAATGCTGGGAAGGTGAACCTATCTCTGCTAGTGAGGCCTGTGCTCTTCTGGACACAGTGCTGAAGCCTGACACAGAGGCTGACTCCATGAGCAGTTTAAGCAGTTAGCTCCTCTCTCTTTTAACCCACGGCTTAAATCCCTTGCAAATACAGGTTGAACCTCTCTATCCTGCACTTTCCGCTCTGGCAATATCCGTGGTCCTGCTTGATTTTACTTAGCTGGATGTCCACTTATTATGGGTCCTGCGGTCCCATAAAGTTTGCTTACTATCACCAGTCCTGGCCCTCAGTGTTCTGTGCTGTTATTTAGCTCTAATTTACCCCTATATGTCTTCTAAGAGTCCAATAAGCAGTGAAAGTGTTGGTAATGCTGCTAGACAATACTGACCTCTGATGGTTCGACAAATTCTCTGGTTCAGCACCGGTCATAATTCAAGGGTGCTGCATTAGAGAGGTTCAGCCTGTGTTACACTTATCTTGCAAATGGCCTTTTTCCCCAAACACTTTAGGCAGACAGTGTGCGGATTATCTCTGGGCAGATACTTGCCGCACTTTGCACACAGTTTGAATCCCTGGGGCCATTGCATGTCGCAGGAGCACGAACAGCAGGAGGGGGAACCCCCCCAAAACTAACTACTACTAATGATAACACATCATTTACGATGCCAGAAATGTTTTACCACAGGGGATGCCATAGCCGACCTCAGAGAAAATCTTCTGCGGCCGTGCATGCAACGTGTCCAATATTTGTGTGTAACCCACACATCGTGTGTGGTTCACTGTCCCATGTAGTGGCACTTAGACCACATATAGCAACAAACAAGAACAAGAGACCTCTACAGCCCGGACTAAGAGCCAGATGGCTTTTAGCTCAAGTGGTACAGACTCCTATACTAAGCTCCAGAGATCCTAACTTCAAATCTGTTGCTCTAAGTAGTCCAAGTGCCATACATGGGACAGTGAACCACTCTAGGTATGTGGGTTACATACTTCCCCTAGAGGAGGAAGCACGTCCCCAAGCTTCAGAGGCCCAGTTGAGATCCTGGACAAGCCCTCACTTGTAACCGCCACCAGGAAAATTTTAATCTGGGACATCTGGAGATTAGTGTAGGAGCCTCTACCGTTTGAGCTAAAAGCCAGCTGGCTCTCAGCCCACGCTGTAGAGGTCTCTTGTTTTTAATCCGTTGCTGTTAGCGGTCTAAGTGCCACTACATGGGACAGTGAACCACACTAAGTGTGTGGGTTACATGTACACGTGAGCAGTCACTCTGAGAAAACGTTATATTTCACTGACATGCATACAAACCTATCTCATCTAATTTCATTACTCCCTGATTAAATTACTTCAAGACACATACAGATATTTTGAAAATTTACAACCTGATCATTAATGATTTAGAATGGAACCACTAATCCTTTATGTTTTTCTGAATAGCATGTAGGATTGTCATCTGTTTAAGCAACTAGAACAGTCAGCGATTTTCTGCACACAAACAAATTTTAATTATTTGATATGGTGTTAAGCTTTGAATGGCTTTTATAAAACCAGTAACTATGCAGGCTTGATGGAACGCTGTGAAGTCAAAATCAGTTTTTTTATATAAGTGAGCAAATGACATATCTCTGGCTGAATTACATTTCCATAATTAATAGTCAAGTGCAACTCAGCTGCTAAGCAACTTCAGTTAATTCTTTTTAAATAGCACTCATAGTGCATGTATAAAAATAATATATTCTCCAAACCTAAGGTCTACAGACTCTTTTGTGAAATACATGCCTTTAAGAACACACAGCCTCAACAATAAAAATTACATCCTGGAGAACAAATAGATACTTGTGCAGAAATACCTATCAAATTTAGCCTACCATCAAGCAGGTATTTGGTATTTGGACGTACTGAAGTCAGTGCCAAATCTTCAACTGATTTCAACTGGTTCAGAATACAGCTGGTCCCCGAGTTATGAATGTGTTACAGACCAAACACTTGGCCATAACGAGAAGTGTTCGTAACTCGGATCCGATTGAGTTACATGGCAACCGCACTGTTCGTAAGCGCGGGTCGCGTTCGTAACTTGGGGACCGCATTTACGACTGCTTTGGTCGTAAGTGGAGGTGGTCATAAGTCAGAGACTGGCTGTACCACTCTCTCTCTTTAACTAGGAAATAGTCCATTAATAAGAAGCATTGCCTGCAGTTTGTTTCTTTGCCTCCTTAAGTAAGTGTTTATTTATTTAAACACAATCAGGGTGTAAGAAAATGGAAATTCTTGAAGTCAGTCAAAGCTTGTTCAAACATTTTGAATAGTAAGAATTTTGATCTCTCAACTGCTTTAGTTATTTTACTATTAGAACATTAATCATGTTAAAAGCAGAAGACTTTATTAAGACTCACCAAGAAGGGCAGACATATTCTGAAAGATTCGCAGCAGCTCAGGAGTAACACATGGGCTATTCTCCAATGTCACTAACCTAATAGTAGATTAAATAGTAGATTATATTTAATTCCCTGTTTTGCATAATAAACATATTAAGAGAAACTGTTTTGACAGGTATAAAAATAGTCATATCCTGGTAACACAAAATCTCTCCAAATGAAGAATACCCTAATTATCTGAAATGCTTATCTTTCAAAATAGTATTTCTCACATTGCTGGTCTGTGGAACATTTGCTGGTTCTGGTGGTTCAAAAATGAGGAAAAAAGGAAACACTATTAGGCCTCTCTCTTTATTTTTAAATGATGGCTGTTTGAAGTTGCTCAGAGATTTGGAATGTTCAAAGTAACCACAAAGAATTAATGGGCAGGTCAGGTGGATAAAAATCACATGCTATGTGCATCAGGACAACATAGTAAGTAGACTTCCAAGAATTTTCAAACAGTTACCAGTTAAAGAAATCCATGCAACAGAAATGTCTCTTTTCCCCCTCAAAATATCATTGTTCTGGGGTGTAATATCTTATATTGGTGACAATCAGGTGGTAACAAACTACATTCATCATTCCATATTCCAATTTTTAATTCCTATGGATGAAAAAGCAATGACATTTCTAATTATGTTTATAAGCAAAGCACATGATTGAAAAAAACACTACAGGCTCAGATAGTAAAACCTTCTGCATTATTTTCAACACCATTACTGCTATAAAGTATCCAGGACCCATGAACTGGTAAATTTAAAGTGCATTATGGCACTGACTTAGAAACAGCATCAAGCATCCTATGTTTCAGGATTACCAGTACTCCCCAAAAAAATGTTTAAAAAGCTTACTGTTTGTTATAAGTAAAGAGAGCTTATTTTAGAGACTTGCATATGTGGTTTGTAATTAGGATGCCAATTTTCTGCCATAGGAACCTTGCAGAGGAGGACATTAATTCAGCTTGAATCACTATTTTCTATAATTTTCTCTCTCTCTAATATTATGAGCAATTTGATCCTCCCAGTAAAATCTGTCTCTGAATGGTTTTGTGTTTTTTTTAAACTAGTTTGTTCAACAAACAGCAGCAGTTTTTAAATATTATTTGCCTGTATTTCACCCCTTAAAACATAGCAACTCCTCCACTAGTCAAAGTAGCAAGGATCCACAATTTGCTCTGCTAGCCCCATGATCAAGTTAGTGTGCATATTACATATATGTTTCTAGGCAAATTTGTTTTAGTAGTGGTAATAAAAATGTTAATGTGCACTGTTCTCTTCTTTTGAGGAAAATAAGAGAAAATAAAAAATATCATCTTGCTGAGCAAGGTTCTTCCACTTACCATAATTCCAAACCATCTTCCAGGAGATAAACATGTGGAGGCTGGGAAACATCTGTACTTAGCTGAATAATTGGAAGTAGAAAAGGGTAGAGGTTCTTGCTGTCTGCTCCTAATCCCTAAATGAAGAATAAAAAAATTATATATTTTTTAAATCTGACTTGAGAGAGAAAATTCAAGGTATTTGTTTTTTAGGCCACAACTACCACTTTTTTTTCTACCACTAGTCATTACACCAATCAGGACAGTTCCATTTCACATTTACAATAAGAAATGGAACACCACAACTGTACATCTAGCATACTGACACTAAAAATTAAACCATAAACCTAACACAAAACAGTCACTAAGTTTCTATGCTACATAACAAAAGCTCCTATATATTGCTGGAACACGTATATAAACCCACACTTTTAAAAATATTTTGGGTGATACAACAGCAAACTGATTTAGACTTTCATTACTTAGGGAAAACTGACTGAGGTTGACCTTATACCCATTCAGGTTTATCTTTAAATCCACTGGGAAATTAGAAGCAGCAATATTTGAGAATGGACTGTTTTCTTCTCTTAGAGGTAAACATGTGAGATGATAAAAAAATAATGAATTGGTGAGAGAAAGAGGTTGAGGTTTCACAACACCTCGAATGTAAGTCCTAACACTCAATATCCCTCTAAAGTCATGTGAGCCAGGAACCCCACGATCACTTTTAGAGGATAGGACCTAAGATAGACCCTGACGCTTGCCAAAGCACTATTAGCAGAAAAAAGATCTCAAATTATATGACTAATGATATACACACTATTATATACATCAGGTACATATAAATATTATATCACTCCTAACCCTCTTCAATTACCTCTTCAAATATTTTGAGAGCAGTAAAATTATAAAAAGTTTGCAAACTGATTATAAACAGTATAAACATTTTTTAAAACATTTCAATATCAATGTCAATCATGGTTACTCTAGAAAAGGTTTAGAACAGCACAGATGGAGCCTATAAATACTTAATGGAAAAAAGGGGATAAAAATGTTAAAGTGGGGAAAGCTGTCAAAATTTACTTGGATTTTATCACACCTTAAAAGTTTTGAAATGTTCTTGGAACAGGAAGAATATATGTTCTTCTAACAAGAATTCATATTTATAGTGACAGTGATTTTTCTAAATAAATAATATAAAGAATGACCTCTACCTGCGGTTATGAGGCATAGAAAGCACACCACACAATCTAACACATCTTCAAAATCAATTTAATCTAATCTGGGATTAACATTCCCTAATTATAAACATGGTTGCAAAAAAAGCAAACATGATTCTGGGATGCATTAACAGGAGTGTTGTGAGCAAGACACAAGAAGTCATTGTTCCACTCTACTCTGCACTGATTAGACCCCAGTTGCAGTACTGTGTTAAGTTCTGGGCACCACATTTCAAGAAAGATGGGGAGAAATTGGAGAAGGTCCAGAGAAGAGCAACAAAAATGATTCAAGCCTAGAAAACATGAGGGAAGACTGAAAGACTTGGACTTGTTTAGTTAAGAAAAGAGAAGATCAGAGGCATGATAGCAATTTTCAAGTACCGTATATTCCGGCGTACAAGACGACCTCTGATGTTAAAAAACATCCCCCAAAAATCGGGGGTCGTCTTGTACGCCGGATGCCCCGCCGCCGGAGCCCCTCCGCGGCTTTGAAAGCCTCGGGGGAAGCCGGCGGCGGGGCATCCCAGGCGCGCATGGGCT